TCGTCATCCACTAACGATAGTAACCGCATTGATTTGAATGTTGTTACTAACGAGTCACTTAAGTGTATCAAAACTAAAGTGCTATTGGGCTCGTATCAAACTACAGTATGCGTGCATGATATAAAGCGAGACACAGATGTAAGTGGTCTACTAACATCGGCTGGAATTTGGGAAGAATCTTTGGTAACACATATCCTGCGTATCCTCGCCACCTATCGTCATTTAGCTTTTTTCGATATCGGTGCCAATCTAGGCGTTTATACAATGTATGCTGCGTCAATGGGTTGTCCAACAGTGGTTGCTATCGAATGTTTTGGGCCTAATATCGAGCGAATACGACGAGCAGTACAGATTGAGCATGTTCAACAACGAGTTATTCTAATTCCTCGCGCACTGTACAACCGGTCAGGTGCCTATTTGTCGCTTCGATCAAATATTAAAAATAACATTGGTTCCCAACGACTCAACCTTGAGGTATCAAAAAATGAAGCGGATCCTCTTGTTGTGAAAACCATCCGTTTTGATGATCTGCTGTCAATTGTTAACGAACGAAAAATTCATGAAGCAATAATTAAAATTGACATCGAAACGTCGGAACACTTTTTATGTGAAACAGGTGAACGCATATTCGATCAGGTGAACATTCAGTTTATTATGATGGAATGGGCGAATATTAAGACAATCCCACAGAGAGCCGATGCAATCATACAGTTTTTCACTAACCGCCACTATATTCCGTTCAATTCGGAAACATGCCAACCACATATTAATCGAACAAATTACGTCAAGTGGGCATCTCAAGATATATATTGGATAAAACAAAACTATACTCATCTTTGTAACATAACAATATAGAGCATGACCTGAATTTGTTAAACATTACTACAACATATATTTCTGTGAATATAGATTCACAAACATCCTATTCATCAAAGTTGTAATGAGACGTGTGGGTGTGGACCTATGTCTCATTCAAAACTTTATCTACACTCACATTCTTAAGATTTTTCTAAAACGTTATTTGTATATACCATATAGAATGCCTAAGTTTTTATAGAATATTGGTCATCTTCTAAAATTAAATTAAAACTTTAATTAAGAAGTGGGCTTGATGAAGGTTCTTCTGTCATCTTGACGCCCACACCCACCTTTAAGACTTTTTTGTATGAATATTACATTTTTATTTATAAAGACGAACTAGAAGATTATTTAACTGTTGAGATTGCAAGTTACTAAATGTTTGATTAGTAAATGTTCTAATAGTAAATGACGACATTGTCATGATTACTTCTGCTCTTTTGAAATCCACAATATTATCTTGTATATAGATGTTGATAACAGGAATATTTCTTAGGAATGCTGCTGATACTAATGCAAACATATTTATCGTCGATGAAGAACCTAGAATAATTACTGCTGTACTTTGTGTACCTTGCATAACCATATCAAATCCATAATGTATTTCAGCTGCAGCAGTAATAGGTGTTGGATCTATATTAAAATCACGACCAATCATAAAATCATGAACTGATTGGAATTGTTTTCTAATTTTAATCATTTCTATATCTGTTTTTAACATATTTGAAGTTGCAAAATGTGTTAAACCATCGAGTTGAATCATTTGTTGTTGTACAAGTGATATTAATAACATAGTATCATATTGTGTTTCTGCAAATAATAATAATGATGGTTTTGATGATTTATAACTACTCATTAAACGATCACCACGTAACCATAATTGATCTCTAATAAATTTTCTACTTGTTGCAGTTCCATTTACTCGTCCAGTTGTATCTCCTTTATTACTAATATGTATATAATCTTTTGTAAATGAATGTGTAGTATCATCATTCTTATCAACAGGCATAACAAAACTTCTAATATTAGCATATTTACGTGCATTTGCACATAAATGAAAATCTTCACCTGTATTCCATGAATATATTTTATCATGAAACATAAGTTTAACCCATTCACTCTCCATAAACCAACTTCCACCAACGACATCAACTTCAATTATTTGACTACTTTTTGATACAGGACCATAATAATAACTTTCTGATGTAGGTGTACCTTTAGTTCCTAAAATACCACGATATTCTTTTGTATTAATTGTATACATTGCAACTTCTAAATATCGTTTTTGCGGTATACAATCATCATCAAAAACAATGACATATTTTGTTCGACATTGCAGTGCAAGTTGAAATCTTCCAAAATATTTTAATTGCATTTGTCCCATGCCCACGAATAAAATCGACGGTAATGTCATGCAAAATTCTATACATTTTTCAGTACAATTAGATCTAATCTCATTATTATTGGTATTATTCATTTTACATTTATTTTCTATACACCATTTATTACAATAATTTGATCCATTGTAGAATAATGAACGCATTTCTTTAATTTCAACATCAAGTTTATCTGCAATAGGTGAAGCAAAATGAATAATCCAGATCTCCTTTGGTGGATGTGTTTGTATAAGAAGTGCTTCAATCCATCGTCGAATTAAACCTTCACGTCTATATAATCCAATAACCGCAGTAAGTGCAAATATATCCTCATTTTTCTTTAATATATTATATTGACTAGGAATTTTAAGTATTTCATTTAGAGTAAGAGCCGATTGTACTTTTGTTAAATTTATCATCATATTTCGTCTATTAGTATGTGATGATATATTTGTATATGAATAAACATATTGAGCAACAGAATCTTGACGAAATTTTGTCATACATTTTATATTTGATTTATAATTTCCGGTAAAATAATTCTCAATAATAGCTGCAATTTGTTTTGATGCTGTTCCATCACCAAAAATATTTCTTTTCGATGTTTGATTCGTTATTTTAATATTTATTAATTCATCATTAACTGCTTTTATAATATCATCATAAAAAATCCCTATTTGTTTAATTGTACCAAGATAAATTCCTTCAGGTCTTTCAGTTGTCATTCTCATTAATATAACTGGTTTTCCAATACTAACCGCTTCTTCTTGAATTCCACCTGAATCAGTCATAATTATATCTGATTCTAATAAAACATATCCAAATATGTCGTATGATATTGGATCAACAATTTTAACATTATTTAAGTTATTTAAAATTTTTAATACGATATTTTTAACATTTGGATTTGGATGGACAGGTAAAATAATTAAAATATTTTCATTATGTTCATTAGCTATAGTTTTTATAGCACGGCACATATCAGATAAATATTGAAAATTTTCTCTTCGATGCATAGTAACAAGAATAACAACTGAATGATTTTTATTTAATGACTTCTTTTTAAAATTATCAATTATTCTTAATATTGAATTCTTTTTATTTGGATTTTCATGTTTATAATATTGATAGAATGCATCAACACCAGTATTACCAGTTATAAATATATCTGTTTCACAAGCACCTTCTCGAATAAGTACTTCTTTAGCAAATGTTGTTGGTGCAAACATAAGTTTAGCAAATGAATCAATTATTTTTCGATTAAGTTCTTCAGGAAATGGATTTGATAAATTAAATGTTCGAAGACCGGCTTCAACATGTGCAACTGGAATTTGATTATATGCAGCAACTAAAGCAGATACAAGTGCAGTTGTTGTATCACCTTGAACAATTAATAAATTTGGTTTAATTAGATTTATTTGTTCATTTATTTGAAAAAATATTCGATGAAATAAATCCGGTAAGCTTTGATTATTCATCATTAAATCTAAATCAATATCAACTGTTTGTTTAAATGCCATTAAACTTTGGCGTAAAATTTCTCGATGTTGACCAGTACTAAGAACAATAATTTGAAATTTTGAACGATAATAATCAGATTTTAATTCAGCAATTAATGGAGCACATTTTATTCCTTCAGGACGTGTACCTAATACAATAAGTATTTTAGGAAGACTTTTATTATTGACTGATATATCAGATGTTTGTTTATTTTTATAATAATTCAATTTAAATAAATTTGGCCATGATGAAATATTCATATTATCATTTTTCAACAGCATATTTGACGTAATAATGTAAAGAAATAAAATAAATATTAGAATCAATGTACACAAACGTCCCACTCGCACATAACTCATATTTTAATCTAAAAAAAATGAATTATTATGATACATTGATATTATAATATGAAATCAAAAATAATCGGAGAAAATAAGAGAGGACAAACGATTTCTATATCGAACTTGTACAATCTTAAATTTTTGTCTACACACACACAAACTGGGGCCAATACTAACTTCTCTGATTCGTATACGGAGATATATGACTGATATATACCACTGTAGATTACTGTATGCAGTCGTATATGGTCGCCCAAGCGGGAAGCAGCTGAATTTTTATTATTCTATTTTAGCAGAGCAATATGATAATATAGCAGAATGAAGCCTGAAAGCAAAACCGATTGTATTTACGCCATATCCGATCGAAATACGATCGCTTACGAAATCCGTAATGTTCGATCTGGGTTTCTTGCTACGGATATGTATATATTTTTCTCAGTTGAGTCGACGTAGTTTTATTATTTACTATCAACAGATGCATGTTTTATTAATCATTATATTGAGAAAATTTTTAAAAGTATCTTTTAGACAATTTTACAGTGAAATCAACATTTATTGCAATGATGATTAGTTGTCTAAGATCGATTCATGTGAAGAATCTAAAACTGAACCAAACATGATAAGACATGTATTTACCATATCAATATTATATGAAATGATTGAGTGCATCATTCACTTTTTTATCAGACAAATAAATATATGATTTACTAAAACTTATTATTCGATGTAGATTACATCTTGTCTTCTAATATATTGTAAAAAAATAAAATCTCTTGAATGAGTGTGGATCAGGTAAAATACTCATATCCACACCCACCCTTCTTTTATTTTTCGTGATACAACGATTTTCTGATTGATAATTATGAAACGTAGATATCTTGTGTTAGAATTTGACAAAAAAAGCAAGTAGAACTGTCACATATCATTACAATGTTTTAATATTAGTAGTTGTTATAATTTTGACATCACATACCTGTAATTCTTCCAAATAAGTTATTTTACTAGCGTTAAATGCAACATATCGAAAGGAACGAAAACCATGATTAAATTGGCTAGAATTAAAGATAATCATATATTGTAGCTTATTTGATGTCGAATTTTGACTTCTTATAGTAATACCTTTCTTTGATGGATATGTAATCCACAAAAGACCATCAAAGGATAAGTTCATATCAATGTTATTTTGTAATTCACGTGTATGTCCAATTATCAGTGCAAATGAAAGATTTGTTCGAATATATAAAAAGTCCATAGCAAAAAACTCTCCTTGTCGAGTATTTCTTCCAATGCGCCAACAAGTACTTGGCTTGTTATCAACTGCGCTTAAAGTCGTATGAGAAGCGAAAAAAGAAATACCAGGTCCACTTGGTAGATTATTTCGTGTACCTCGTTCGAAATCTTTTGAAATATTAAATGGAATATGTTCGATATCAATTGGTAGAATATTCGTATAAAATATAAATTCATCATTTGGATTTGATGATTTAATATAATAAGGGAAACGACGTTTTGATGTACGAGAAAATTTTATATTAACTGTATTATTAGATTGATTCCAACGAAGATTATGTTCTAGAATACGAATAGCTAAAACCGAACTTTGATGTTGATATTGAAGAAAATTTGATGATGATGAAAATGATGCACCGGTATGGCTTCCTGGCAAATTACGAATATCCATATTGAATTGTGATGGAATATCATTCAACCAAATAGAAAAAAATACATCACTAAGATGAATCAAATCTATTTAGATACATTAAAAAAATCATATTATTTTATTTAATTATTTTATAGTATGTCTCAAGAGTTACTTATATAAAGTAATTTGGTATAATTCTACTATGTATTAGATTTAATCGACTATTATTATGAATTTTATATTTCTAACAAAGAAGTTTACAATTACTATTCAATGCAAATAAATTTTGTCCTTATCAAAAACATTTATAATATGTGAAAAATGAATCTTTTGTTTTTTGATGATGAAAACCTCATAAACTGCTTAACAACTGTAATAAATGATAAAATTATTTTGCAAGAGTAACTGTTGAGTAGGCATATACCGAGCCCAACACAAGACCGAGAGTCTCGATCTTCTTGATTTTCGCTTTTTCTCATATTGTAATATTCTATTGACTTACTACGATTATTCTTTAAATAGGTGTGCAAATATTCAATATGTCGTTGAGCATATTCACGCAAGAAAATACTTCCACAACCAATCCATGAAAAACCAGTATGTAAATTAATATTTTTGTCAAAATAACTCCACATCAAATTTGTATAGAATGTACCTGGATCAGTAACAGAATGTAATATATATGGATCAGCTCGAAAATCAGCGATGAGACTTTTTAGATAGAATGATGCATCCCAATCATCATCAGCATAAAAACAAGCAATACTATTTGCTTCAGCACATGCACGATATTTTGCTTCATCTTTAAGATTTTCTTTTGAATTAATCACACGAATATCAATTAAGACACTTGTATTCTGTTGGAACTGAGTTTTTTCGAGAGTAATTTCTGGATTATTATTCCAAATAACGATTTCTTTGAAGAGCTTAGAATTAACTAAATTATTTACAGCTCTTGCCACACTTGCTGATCGTTTCCAATGAAGTACTATGGCACTCAACTTATACTTTTGTATAAGATCGATTTCATATTGTTTTGCTTGGAGTAACTCGAATTCAGTGAAGCCAATATTGACGTGTTTATCATCATAATATGACTGAATTTGTTCGATATTTTGACGAAAACGATATATTTGATGTAAGAGTAAGAATAAAGCCAGGGAAATGAATATGATTCCATATTTTTTTTTCATTATTAATTTGAAGCAATACACGAGTTTGCATAAAGAAAACGTTTATTTGAATATAATCGAGGCAAATAGATGGATTTACATTGCCTCGATCTGAAGTAACTAATAATACAATGTAAGTATAGGCTAGGAAAAAAAGAGATATTATTGTATAAAGTCATCTAACAAACTATATTACTAATGTTTTTATTCAATTAATGCATTTGGGTACATCTGTCCGTTATCGGAAAATTAAAGAATTAAACTAAATTTTATATATATTACAGAAGCAATTGCCTGATGAATATCTATGCAATCCGTTTAAGAAAATATTCTACAGTTTGGAAGATATCTGATTTCTTTTCCGAATAAATTACCAATCAGACAGTACATTTTTTTGTGATAGTTCTATCTTATTGAAGGTAGATGTGCTTGATTTGAAATTTTCAATATGAATACATCTCAAGTAAAAGTCTTACTAAAACAAAAACTAAACACAAAAAGTAATAAATTGTTGATGGTTTGATTATTATACGATACTAGAATGACGAAATACAGATCTTAATCAGTATCTACATTGAGAAGAAATTCATCTTGTTATATATTACGAGGAGGCATGATAAATCATACTTCTTTTCAGTATATTTAACATTCATGTTTTTCTACTGAGTGAGATTTTCTTTCTTTCTAGCAGTCTTCACCTTCACATCCATTTTTCCTGTCTGATTAATTTTGTTCCGTTCTTTTTTGTCAGCATTTTATTTTCTCACCATATTTTATATGTCTAAATGTTTGTTTCAGTATTACTCATTCACTTACTTAGTTCAATATTTTTCTTATTGTGTTCTCATAATTTTTATTTCATCAGAACAGTGTCTATCATCTAATTTTGACTGAAAGTAATTGTTATACATCTACTAAAAATGGATGATATAATATAGTATCCAGAGAATGGTTAGAGATTCAATAGTATTTCTAAATGTCCTACGAGGATCCTATGTGATTTAAATAAACTAAAATGGAGTCTAATATTCATACTATCCTTGTTTCATGTATATGCACCACATAGTAGTCAACATGTACTATTTTGAGATGTATTTAAACATGATATCTATATTTTCTAGGATTCTCCATCTTCAGATGCTTATGCTCTTATCATATTTTTCTCTTTATTCGATAATATTGTTGAGCATTCTCTTCAATCAATAGTTAACACAATTTTTATCTTTGATCTACGAGTGACGTGTCAGTCTAATAAAAATAAAATATTTCATTTCAGCACCATCATAGAAATTGTTAAGCAGATTGCAAAAAAACACGTCATGTGCTCAAAAGAGTTTTGTATTGGTATGACATGTTAATGAAGAATAAATTCTTGGTGAACAATAGATAGTATTTTCTTAACTATTGTATTTTATTATTTCAATAGTCTTTTAAACATGTAAGAAGATCTCTGTACTTATAAAGAGAATGAAATTAGGAGAAAATGATCTAAAATCTTACCTGAAACGTGATTGTTGATAATTTATCTGTACTCCGACGAGATTTTTAAAATATATATGACATAAGTTACTCATTTCTCTTTTTCTCTTCTTCATACGTGATTCTGATTACTCAACAAATAGGGCTTACAGTTTTGTATATTATATTTATTGAGTAACGAGAATCACGTATCAGGAAGAGAAAAAGAGAAACGAGTAGGTTATATTTTATACTTAAAAACCACGTAGAAGCACAGAAAAATTATCATCAATTATGTTCTAAGTAAGATATATGATTAGTTTTTATTAATTTCATTCTCTTTATGAGTACAAAGATCTTCGTAGATGTTCAAAGACTATTGCAATGATGAAATACAATAATCAAAAAAATATTATCTTTTATTCATAGAAAAATTATTCTTCATTAACATTGCATAGTAATTTAAATGAAAATTAAAAAGTAATGACTAATAATTAAATGACGAATAAAATAATATAAGTGAGCAATGAAATGATTTAAATGAGCAACATTGATATTGAGCGGCAAAGAATTCAAAGGAGCAATAATTTATTTAATTTAAGCGGAAATTCTATATAAAAAATAATATGCATTCATTAACATTGGTTTCCTTTCCATCTATTTTGTCGTATAGATTACATACATACGATATACGCATGTGTATCCTGCTGTTTTTTCCTTTTCTTTCTTTCTTTCTTTTTAGGTATTTTCCCGTCTCATTTTAGTGTTTTACATGTTCTCTTTGATTTGTTCTATCGCGTTCATATATATATTTACTAGTTTTGAAAATAAACTGAATATTTCTTAGCAATTTATGAATACAAATGGCTTCATCACAGCGTGTGACGCTATATGGTTCTGATAGCGAAAGAGACAATGATGTGGAATTGGTGTTTTTTCAAATAATGAAGAAAAAGTTAAAAAAAACAATGGAAGAAATTGGGTTTTAGTATATGTATGTATGACAACAACGATGTTGCTATTAATGACATAAGGATTGGTGATATATGAAGCAAAACTGACAGAAATATAACCAGTGAAGAAACAACAATAACATAGTAGATAAAGAAATAACACGACATAGAAATTGCAGATTCAACGTATTTGATATATATATAAATCTGTCTACTCCAACATATGATGCGTATACTTGACTGAAAATGCTGGCGAATGGAGAAGTGCAACTTCCACTTGTCCATTATTCCTGAAGAATTAGATCTATAAGCACACCATTGGGATATCTATGAGACTAAACTATTGCAAAGCTTCACTAGAGACAAAAAATACAGGAATTGGTACAAAAATAAAGCGAGGCAGACCATCTAAAGCCCCAGAACCTTTGATCACACAATAATTTTTTATTATTATAATATATTTTTTCCTGTTCCAATATGAATTTTTAAGGGTGAGTGTGGGTGTCTGTGAACACAAGATAGAAGAGCAAAGACACACACCCACACCCACTCTCGAGATTGTAAAATGAACGTCATGTGCTCAAAAGAGTTTTGTATTGGTATGAAATGTCAATGAAAAATAAATTCGTGATGAACAAACTATAGTATTTTTTTAATTATTGTATTTTATCATTGCAGTACTCTCAAATATCTAAGAAGATCTTTCTATTGATTAAGAGAATGAAATTAACAAAATCTAATTATATATCTAGCTTCGAACGTGATTGTTGATAATTTGTCTAAGTTTCTACGAGATTTTTAAAATATATATAATATAAATTACTTGTTTCTCTTTCTGATACCTGATTCTTATAACTCAATAAAAAGGGCTGACAATATATTGTATATTGTATTTGTTGAGTAAGAATAATCATATATGAAGAAGAGCAAAAAGAGAAATGAGTAACTTATATTATATATACTTAAAAGTTCCATAGAAGCACAGATAAATTACCATTAATCATGTCCTCAGTAAAATATTTGATTTTCGTGACAGTGTGCGTGTTGGTATTCATTTCATCTACGAGCCACACACTCACGCCCACCAACATCCTCAAGATGGGACGAAAATATATTCCCTGTGGTGTTTAATAATTTTCCAACAAAATTAAAATAGCAAGTGCAACGCACGTGAATGATTCTTGCTTGTTGTTGGAAAAAACCAAGCTGCGTCATCGTGATTTTCGACGTTATACGATATCAAAGGTAGTAATAAAAGTACGTGTGCATCTATGCAAAAAACATATTTATTTGTCATTCTACCTGTGCGTCAACTAGGAAGAAGAAATCTTTCGAACATATTTTTAATAATATACTTTATGCGAAATGATACCTATGGCGAATGTCGTTGAGCAAGCTAATAATCAACTGGCGATTAGATCAGAATTAGCTACAGGTACGCATATAGAAAACATTGATTCTGAACGCATCTACAATGCTGAAAGTGTACCCAAAGAGTTTTTTTGTCCGATTTGTTCATGTTTATTATGGCAACCACGGTCGTGTGGGTCATGCCAGAATTTATTTTGTGAAGCCTGTATTCAAAAGTGGCTCCAAACAAATACGAAGTGTCCATATGGGTGTGTACAATATCAAGATAAACGTTGTTCACCACAAATTCGATGTCTTTTGTCCAACATATGGGTTCGCTGTCAAAGTACCGGTTACGGTTGCACAGCAATACTCTCTTACGATACATTAGAAGCACATCAAACAGATCAATGTGAATATCCATCTGGTCGTTGTCGATATTGTGAGAATCTGATGCTAAGGAGTGAGATCGTCGCTCATGAACACGAATGTGGTCAGAACTCCGGTAGCTGTGCCAAATGTAATTCTCTTGTGCCTTTGTTTTTACTGGAACAGCATAAACTATCATGTGTTCGAGTCCGCTTACAACAGTTAGTGCAAAACATTCATCAATTGCAAAATTTCACTCAGCCGGGTTACACATTTCCACCCGATCCTCCACAACAAAATATTGCAAATTCGATAGTGAATACTGACCATTACACAGAAGAAGAACGACAAATACAGAAGGAATATTATAATTTACCTTGGTATCGTTGTTTTTGGTCTCTGGCTTGCCTAATTTTTATGAATCCACTCGATGCTCCGCAAATCCTTTTAACCGTGTGGCAAACGGGTTGGGGTTCTACCATCGGATGTTTTTTGGTATTTATTTTCATAGTCTCCGCTTTTTGTTTTCAAAACATATGTACCGGTTTCCTTTCGATTATTCTTTTTACTGGACTTTTACATAACGGTGCACCATGGTTTCTAAGCTTGGTCAATGACAGTTCTATAATGATATTTTCTACCATTCTCTTTCTAATAGTGGGCTCATTACGTATCCATGTAAATGCTCACCAACTGAGAAAAAGAAATCCCATAGGACGTAGTCTGTTAGCATGGCTTTGTAGCATAGTTGTTTGGAAACTTCTGTTACTATTTGTTCGTTTTTATTGTCGATGGATTCCCGCTTATGTGACTGCAACCTTCGTTACTGGGATCAGCATTTTCATTGCTTTAATACTTCGATTCTTTTCAATGCAATCATCGACTTAGAGA